ACATTAATTTTAAAGTCCATCAGCCCTCTGCTGCAGAGAGGTGAGCTCTTAATAACATTATAATTTTACTGATTCATGTTTTCACTGTTATTTATCCAGAGAAGTTCTTTTTAAACGCTATGTTTATTTTTAGCATCGCTCTTCTTCTTCTTCTTCTTCTTCTTCTTCTTCTCTGGTGTTTGATCCAATATTCTCTGTTTTTAATGCCTCCACTCCGTCAACAGCTGTGGCCGGAGACATCACGTCTCTGGGTTGTCCTTCCGTCTGTACGTCTCATTCCCGTGAACATGACATCACAGAAACACTGTCAGGGAATTTCTTCAGATTTGGCACAAACGTCCACTTGGACTCAAAGATGACCTGATTAGAATTTGGAGGTCAAAGGTCACTGTGACCTCACAAAACATGATGTTGGACATTACTCAAGAGTTCATATGCTGAGTTTTAGTCCTGGTTCGACCCAATATTCACCTTTTTCTAGCCGTGGTTTGGTCCGTCATCTGTTGATTTGTTTAGCCCTGACTTTGTTCAGTCTTTTACAGAAAATGAACCAGTGATACACAGACTGCAGTAATTCAGTGTGAAGACCTTTTATTGTTTAGTTTATTAAACTTCTTGCTGCTGGTGACTGAAGACTGAAAAGTTCATTTTTAACTCCTCTTGTACAAAAGGTGTTTGACGCATCAAGTCTGAACGCACTGATTGAAATACATTTCTTGTTGATAGCTGGTAGTTTCTCCAGAACACACAGATTAACAAATCAACTCAAGAGTCCAGTGATCTCAGCAGTATGATAAATTGTACTACTCTTACCGTTCCTCTTTTGGAAAATCCCTCAAATACTGAGTTGTTTTTCCCTGCCATTTCTCCTTTACTCTTTCTGCTGTTACCTATGTCACTCACCGCTGACTATCAAACCCTCATGCTCTTTCTCTACTGTGGCTGGAGGATAAAAACATTCTTCTTTGGTGGTTTGTCTTCCAGACCAGACTCACCTGCACCCAGCTGTGTGTCCTTCAAGAGTGACCGGTCAAAGCATCAGCCTCTTGTGTTTAAAAATGGACGTGAACAACAGTAAGCTGAATATGACATTAATGTTTATTACATCATAGATGTAGTTTTGAAATTATGAATGTGTCACAATACATTTTGAGCTGACTCTTCCTGAACAGTAATGTAAAGCTTTACTAAAGTGTATGTGTGACTCATAAAACTTGCATACTTTATAAAAACTTTTGTCCATGTCCCCTCCTGGGCTCTGTAGAGTTCTGTATCTGACAGGACCAAACTGGAGAAAGTTTTTGAACAATAGATTTGTTCCTTCAGTGTGTTGCAGCTCCACCTGGAGGCTGCCTGTAGACATGGACCGCAGAACGCATCTGAACCGGGGGGGGGGGGGCATAATTTCAAGTCACGCGGAGGGGGTGGGGGGCATATGCATTGAAACAGACAATATTACTGATGTATTAAATAACGTTGCGGAGCACTTTTTTTATTCCGACACCACACAGTCACATCTACAGTACACGCATGAACACGAACACATTCTTGCTCAGATTAACCCCTCTGATCCCACTCTAACACACCCAACAGGCCAAGCCTATTTACACATAAACGCACAGATGAAACTATAGCAAACAACAAAGTACATCCAGTCCACAACCACAACCAAAACTCATCTTGCTGCCTTGAATCTAAATCAACATCATATTCATTATCATCACAAGTCAGCACTCATATCAGACTGATGTGCAGAGCCGCGCACACACACACACACACACACACACACACACACACCCAACAACAAAACAAGCGCAGCTGCGCAGTTACTGAAAAGTAACCAGAACGCTGAATTTCTGAACATTACCGCCCCCAACCGCAAAACTCTGAGAATTTATGTTGCACAATAATAGAGATGCATTGATTTTGTGTCTTCTCCCGTCCCGCAGGAGAAAACACATCATTTTATAGGCTATTAATAAAGACATTCATGGGGTTGTTTGTTTCATTTCCCTGGCCTGCATGTCTTTTGACGCACTGGTCAGGAATAGTGCTCCTATTTCGTTGTTTTCATTTAGTTTTTAATGAAATAAAGGCTGTTTCATATTCTATTCTCCTCCTCTGTATTTATTTATTTTTCTACCTTTATATAGCAGTGATTGAGGTTAAGGCAAGCCCGGCGCCAGGATGAAGTTACTTAGGGGGCAGTTAAAAATTACGAGGGGACAAATCTTTATTATGCAACATAGGTTCACACAGTGAGTTATAAAGAGCACGCAGACGTGCGTAATAGTCACAAATAATGACAGCTCGTCACCGGAAAAACACAATAAACTGCACGTCTTCTTTCATGTTTGTCTCATGACAGATGGAGCTGACAGACAGACAGATAGACAGACAGACAGGTGGAGCAAGCGGCAAATTGGTATGAACGCTGGGTCAGGGCATATTCGTCCATTTATGAATAAATGAGTGAGTGAATAAATGGTGACCATTTTTCTGTAAAGTATGTTAATTGGTTTCTGTGGCCAGCAGATATTTTCTCCAGAGAAATATGTTCTACAAGGAGATTCAGCCAATGGTTGATGTTGAGGGTCTGTTTATCTTTCCAGTTGACTAGGAATGTTTTCTTGGCGATGGCGAGAGCTACAAGAAGAGAGCTGCAGTGGCTGTTTGGGAGGTCAATTGTCATCAGGTCACCAATTAAGCACAGGTTGGGAGATAATGGGATCCTGCAGTCCAAAATGGAGGAGAGTTTTTGGGTGACTGTAGACCAGAAGTGCTGGACGGGTGAACATAACCAGAGTGCATGAAAGTAGGTGTCTGCAGTGTTCTGAGTACACTGAGTGCATGTGTCAGACTGACTAAAGCCCATTCTATTCATCTTTTGTTGGGTGATGTGTGTTCTGTGGAGTACTTTAAATTAGATAAGTTGTATATTAGTGTGTCTTGTCATCTTAAATGTATTTTTGCATATCTGAGTCCAGAAGTCAGGGTCCGATGATACACCCAGCTCTTTTTCCCATTTTAAAATTGGTAAATGTATAGAACTGGTCTTTGACAGTAATTTTTTGTGTTGACATCCTGTTGCTAGGCTACATCTTCTTCTTCTTCTTCTTCTTCTCCTTCTACTGTTTAATGGGGACCCGCGGGACCCGGCGGGACCCGGCGGGACCCAATCCCAATGCAGCCCTCTATGTCAGAGTACAAAAGTTACCCGGGCCATGGCCCCCCTGGGCCCCCGGTTCCGCGGTCTATGCCTGTAGACCTGTATCATCACTCCCCAGTTTCTGCTGTGCTGATCCTGATGTGTCCTTATAGGGAGTGACGGTGTCAGAGCCTACGATATCTACATATCAACTCTGCACTTATTCTGAATTCACATTATGATCCGTTTCACCTGAACTTGACTGAACTTTTCTTGTTGATAGCTGGTAGTTTCTCCAGAAGCTGCTGTGGCTGGAAGGTAAAAAACTCCTCTTTGTTTGTTTGTACTTCAGGATCCATCAGAGACCAGACTCACCTGCACCCAGATGTGTATCCTTCAAAAGTGACCGATCAATGAATAAACATATTACATTTAAAGCTGGACAACAGTAAGCTGAATATAACATTGATGTTTTAACTACTATTGTGTCACAAACCTGAGAAGGTGAGAGCTTTTGTCTCAGAGTGTGAGGTTGTTTTGTAGAAGCAGTAAGTTGGCTGTTTGTTACCTGGCAGTACTGAGCAGTAACTGTAGACTCAGAGTCAAAGATCCCTGAGGAGGGAGTGGATCATCACTCCCCAATCTCTGCTGTGCTGACACTGAGAATTTTCAATGTGATGAGAAGGAGTTTGAACTGGAGTCGATGACCTAAAAGCTGCAGAGAGCCGCAGACCAGACGGTGGATTCTCAGTGGGATCAGCTGTACTAACAACACTTGGTTATCAGAGGGAATGATCTGATTCAGTGTTCTTATAAAACATGAGCTGAATGATGATTGACCTTGTGTCTGTCTCTGTGTGGACAGTGT